TTTTATTTTGGAAAGAGACATTTCTCTGTAATAAACTCTCTTTTCCAAAGATGAGTGATTTCTCAATCAGATATATTTATTTTTTTATTACTTTGTTGTTTCAGCAACATTAAATTTAAAAACTGTACTTTTGAGTTAAAATATATATTTATAATTTTAATAAATGACAAATTAAAAAGGCATGAAAATTTCTTTTGTGTCGAAAAAATATCGAACTGTGACACCAAAGTATCGAACCGAACCGTGAATTTTGTGTATCGTTGCACCCCTAGTTTCCTCGCCTGCTGGTTTTACTTCGTCTCTGCCAGAGGTCTCCGCTCCGCCATGTGTTTTCTCTTTTTTGGATTCATGGATGTTTGGTTTCTGCTCATTGGACATTTGGTTCCCAACTTCACATGAATAAAGGTTAGTTTGTTCATTAAGTTTGGCTTCAGTTCTGCATTTTGGGTCCAAACATGCCAGGTTGAGACATCAGTGAACTGATATACTTGTGATGTATCATTTTGTTCCCTCCATTTGTTAAGTTATGCCTATGATCTTCCACATTATCACCATCCCTTCAGTAGCAAAATGTACCACAATGACACAAAGACAAAAACAAGCGTTGTGGTGAGTTATACTGTAAAGATATCATTACTCCAATCAAAAGACCAAGACCAAGAAGCCCTGAATACCTGTGTGCTCTGCCAGACACAAGCAGGAAAGTCTCCACCAGTTTCCAGGCCCCCACTGAGGCCTACAGCACAGAGGGACAGCGAACAGACCCAAAGGATAATAAAGACACCAGCCAGCACAACCACATTGGTGAGGCACAGGACAACCAGTCCCACCGATATGTCTGCCAATTGGTCCAGTCAAATTGGTGAGGCGAAAGCAAGCAACTGGAGGGAGGTGGGACAGTGGAGGGGATGGAACAATGCCTGCCAGACATATAAACGCAAATTGCATCAAGGTCACCTCATGTCTGGCAGAAGCAATCATGATCAGCCCAATCCATCCCCTCCCCAACCCCCAAAAGGGCCAGATCCCACCATGACACACAGGTGTGAGTCGCACAGCACCTAGGTCACCTGACGCACCCCACAAGCCCCATCCCCAATTAGCATCCCAGGCTAGGGAAAGCATCC